TTCGCACTTTTTGCCACCCACTTTCAATTCGAGAACCAGGAAAGCTAGGAAACTGAAATTTTGGGGAAATGTTCTCTGTCCAAGTACAACTCAAACATTTCAAATTCAGCCTCCAGCTATGCGTGGTACTAACTTAAGGGCGTATGAAAATTTCTGCGAAAAAATTACTAACTCGAGAAGCAGGAAAGGTAGGAAACTGAAATTTTAGGGGTATGTTCCCTGTCCAAGCACAGCTTAAGTATTTCAGATTCAGCCTTGAGGTATGCGTAGTTCTTAAGTGCGGGTACTTGAAGTTTTGGCAGGAAAATTTTTTTTTACTGAACAGCTAGGTTACTTTTAAAGAAAATTTTTTACTGAACAGCTAGGTTACTTTTAAAGAACCACCGTTAAACGAAAATTCTACTTTTACTTTATAGAAAATTTATAGTGATTTACACAAAAGGTAGGTGTAAAGCAACAAACATTCATGCAGTTAATGACCTGAGTACTTCAAGTCTGGTGCAAAAACGCATGATCACACGGGCGCGCCCAATGCATTCCAACCTGGGTTCTAATTTTGACTATGTTAAGATGAACATCGATGACAGAGACAGGCCGTCAATTTCGTCTGGCGCTGGAATGGCAACAAATAATGGAAAATATCGAGCTGCGGAGAAATCCCAGGAACCAGGACCATTAACCGCCTTTTTGAGTGAGCAGCCCAAAGAATTGGGGAACTTGGCTTTGACTTTTGACGAGCAGGCAATGATGAAAGCAATTTCCCGTATGAATTTCGAAGATACCGAGGAAATGAAACCATTCCCAGAAGTTGCCGCGAAGGAACAGTCAGGTGGATTCATGACAGAAGCAAAAAAGAGATACCGATGGGTAATTATTCCAGTTTCAGCACATGGTCATTGCTTCACATGTTTCTTCTCTCTTTCAGTATTTTCTTAGCTGCGAAAGACTTCAACTATGTAGATATCGACGAAGGCAGATGTAACCGACTGTTTGTTTGTTTGCCTATTACGACGATACCTATTATCTTGGTCGTTCCTTTTGTCAGTACCGTACATACCAACATATTCATGCGCAATCCAATCTTCTTTTGCACAAGTTTTAGCGTTAAAGTCGTCTATGACGGCCGTGTAAGTAGATTTGACTGCGTGTGAACTCAGCACAGAACTCCACATCCCTCACTATTTTTGAGGGAGTGTTCCATGCTGGGCAAATAAAATGACTAATGCTGTTTTGTGTCTTAAATATCGCAGTCTAGCCTAAGATGATTTGCTAAGATGGCTTCCTGCTAACGACAAATTTATCTCCGCCAGTATAAATCTGTCCTTTTCTCTCACGTTTTAACCGAGCAGCTAATTCGTCCCTCAGTAACAGCCGACAGTTTTCAAGAGCCTTGTGCTGAGGCTATATTCTTCAATGGCCTAAATCCTTATCTCGCTGTAAAACAGACCGGTACATGTCCAGAACAATTTGGCCCGTCATAATCTTATTTTTTACCTTATACTGTTTTCCAGGCCTTCTTGTAAAATATTTTGCTTCTTCAGTTGCAACGCCATCTCCTTCCTCAATTCTCGCCTGAACTTCTTCTCTCACCCTACTCAGTTATCAAAGAAATAATTCACAGGCACACAAGGACACAGGCTGTTTTTGAACTTATCACATTGCCGTGATCTGGGTCAGTACTGTCCTTTTCTAGTTTTCTCCATTTTTATTTCAGGCCCGTCCTGGCATTCGTTCCTTCGGCGATGCTGAAGCTCGTTTCATTGCTCTAAATCAGTCGATTCCTGTGTGCCACATAACTTCAATGAAGATTATTAATTCCGTTAGAGTACGATCACACTGCAAGGTTGATACAGAACCCAAAAACCTGATTAAGAATGCGCGTCAAGTATGGGCCAGAAAAGGTCCGGAAGAAATGGCCATGATTGCTGCGCTGATCGCAGATCCAAACAAGAAAGAAGCACTGGCATTGTTCGAGGAAAACCTAAGTGTCTACCGCAAACTCCAGTTGTTTGCGTCTGGAGAACAACTCCGGAAAGTTTTGCTTTTTATAGCCTACCACTACACGAAACTGTTTCCAGAATCGTCTACACCACAAGTGCACTCCTTCTTGGACGATCAATTCTTTGCTGTAAGTCACTGAAACAAAGCACAATTTCTGAATCGCAGTCTGAATGCATAGGTTTTGGCAGCGAAACAGTCCGAATAATACATAAAAATCATTATTCTTCGACCATTAATCATTTCCTGTTATCGCTTACTGTGGTATCTGGAAATCATTTTGTTACCTAATTTTTGTTATTCCGTATTATTTTCCTACAGTTTGACATATCATTGTTTATTCGTGAACCCTTATTACTATTTTTTGAGTTCACATACACACAGAAACACGCGCACACATACACACACATACGCACATACACAAACACATGCACGCACACAAAAAAAAGTAGAAATGCACAGCTTCTCGGCTATATGCGTTTTTATAATTAACAGCTATGCAAAAAACCACAAAAAGGCGAAGGGCCTAAAGGGAATACAACAAAAGACAGCCTGAAAAAATTCCTAGCCGTGATCTTTTTCGTGTTTTATTTCTTCGTTTTTGAATGAAGCCGTTATATTTATCATGTTTACTTCACCATCCTTTTGTTTTTTTTTCCAGTAACTAACAAGATGGTTTTCATTCTTTTAGGCCACGATATGTCTGGTATGCCTTGTGCTACCTTTATCATTAAATTATTGCTAAGTTTGCTGTGATTGTTTAGTTTAGCAAGCAACTTTCATATGTTTTAAAGCGTTCATCACTTTTACGATCATACGCATTAAAAATTAATCGTATTTTTGCTAACCCGCAGTGAGGAACGGCCAAGTTGCTCTTTGCACGGTATATTTAAAAAGAAAATGCCGGATTTTGAGGCACCTGTGTGTCAGCGACAAAAGCTTATGTAGTTTGAATATCTGGTAGAGGATATTATAGGAAAGTTTTGAGTGTTTAGTATTTTATTCTATGCCAAGTAATAGATTAGAACAGAAATTTTGAGCCCTCAAACTTTAATGAACCTTAGTCTGCACTTAGCTACGTCTACTATGTTAGCTATGTTAGCTTTGGATCTTAGGAACTGGAATAAGGAAAAAATCGAATTTCTACATTCCTTTCCGAATCTAAAACTGTTTAGCGAGTCGAAAATCGACTATTTTGAACCACTGCTTCCCGCTTTGAGCTTGAATCCCACTTGCTATTTCATGTACTTCGGGGAGTGGAAATAAGTGAACTATAAAAAACACAAATGTGCTGCGCTCTCTTGTCGTGCGCACCAATTATGACGACCTGGTGTGCATATTTTGGTACTGCTGCCCGAAAAACATGCGTAGAG